AAATTAACACATTTTTCATTACAAATAGCTTAAAGTTTCTCTTTGTTTTCTTACGTTTTATATTATGAATTATTCAAGAACATTATTTTTATGAATTCAAAGTATAATTGTTGATAAAATCATACAAAAATATAAGCAAATAGTAAAACCTTGTCTTACGTATTGTGGTCTACAAAATCTCAAATATGTCTAGTTAATTTTAGCGGAAATACTATAAATACTTAAAATTCTGAAATAATTTATGAATGTTATGTAATTTCTGAAATAATTTATAACAGTTTAGTAATGAATGTATTGTTTAAATTAAAAATAATATTATCTTGCTCTTAATGGCCAATAAGAGTGGCCTTTGTCTGTAAATCGCATAATTTAAAGGTTATATGTTTACTTATATATAGTCTATACAAGTTTCAACTCTTAAGTATCTATTCCATAATTCCATAACACTGGTCTATAATGTTATMATCTCTGTGGTACCTATTAAACTTTGTTGAAATTAAAAACGTAGTGAGGGGCGTGGCAATATTATACGTCAAGTTTAAAGATAATTTACTATGGGTGGAGATTACAAACGGGTGTTGCCTGATGACCGAGGCCCGACGAAAGCTGGTTGCCATTAACTACGTTTCTTAACTTTAATAGAGTATAATACCTAGTTAAACACAATAAATAATAAAACATTTAAWATATATATATATATTTAGGCAAGTACTATAACACTGTAAGGATGGAGTATCAGTAATTTAAACATTTTATTGTACGCTATTTATATGACTTAATTCACTATAATAGATTGCTGCCTGATGATGGCTGTCAAAGTTGGCTAATATTGATTTTTATTAGCTCATGATTCATGTATAACTCGTTATATTTGTTTAATTACATTTAACATGTGTACAGTAGATAAAATAAAAATAAAATTCATCTGTTTGCATTTTAGTTTGGTTGTTTAGAAAAAAGCACTTTTTAATTTTAAATAATAATATTTACAGCTTAAAAAAAAAGATAATAAGCCTTAATGAACACATACAAAGTGAGGGAAGTCGGAGAAAATTAAATCTAATCTAATTATCTTTAAATTCCTGTCTAATTACATCTATAGAATTAGGCACTTAATACTTATGGGAAGATATAAATTAATAAATTAACACTATTATACAAACCCAGAAATTCCAAAAAATTTAATTTGTTACACATTGGTTTATAGCTAATGATTTTGATTAGGTATACATGTATCTGCAGATATGGTAAATATTCCTATAGAATATATTAAATTTATTAATATATTCAATGTTAATACTAGTAGTACTATAAAAACAGCTCCCAATAATTTAAATTAGAAGGATCACACGACATAATATTTAAAAGTGCATCTTTTATATTGAACATTTTGTTTATGTAGGTACCTATACTAGTATAACGTTTCAGTTAATTATTATATAAACAATGCTTTATTTTTAAATTATTATGTATTRATACATAATCATATATTTTGAAACGTAGCCGCATAGGTTGTTATTACTTGTTTTAAATTGCATATAATTGGTATTTTTGCTGTAATTTATTATTGTMAATTTTAATGTGCAAGGATAAAAATAGGTATATAAATCAGAACATTCATAAAATTCACCAAGGCAATATTTGTTTAACTATAAAATAATTCGTGATGCAAAATATTATAGCTATGATTTAAAAAAACGGTTAGAAAAATATTCCTGGTACGAAATGATATGCACATGTACAGCCGTACAGGTGAAGTGCTTAAAAACAAAAATTAATACGGTATATGGTACCCTATCCGCAGTCTTCTTACCACCCTGCAATTCGACATCAAGTGTACGGATTTTTAGTGTTTCATCGTCCGCACCGTTGCATTCATTAAAACGCGGTGCCGCCATCGACGTCACGCGCAAGTGCGCGACACATCTCAGTATTTACGACGTCAGTTACGTAATATATTATTACAATAATATTATAGTAGGTAGGTATCATAATGTACATATCGTGTCGTTCATGCATTAAAATAATGCTTTTTATTATGTAAACKTGAAATACAAACAAATTAAATATATTAATATATTATACGCGAGTTAAATACTTTATACACATGTGACAGTGTGGCTGTGTGCGGCCTCGTTCGTTAGGTCTTCAAACGATGACACCCAGAAAACGTTTGTCTAGCGCGTCGGACTTTTCTAGTGTCACACACAAAGTAGGTATAAACCGTATATATAACTATAATACAGAGTGATTCTCGAAGCATGATAACCTTTAGTTTTTAATTTGATAATGGGTTTATTCAAATTATGGTTTTTAAGACTTTGAAGTCCATATTTTGAAATCCTCGATATTTTTTGTGTTTTGCGGTGATAAAAACTTCTGTTTTTTTTTTATATAAGAACCAAGTTTTTTTTTCTGTGAAAAATTTAATAAATAATGTTTTTGAATATTTTGTTGTATCTATTAGGTACCTCATTCAAAATTTGATTACTAAAATGTGTATTAAGTAAAAATGATTTTATAAAATTATAAAATACTGATACTTGTAATATTGGATCTAATATTTGTTATACTTGGACCAATTTTTATAAATTATAAAGCAGTTTTATAAATTGATGAAAAATTTGCTAATATTTTCAATTTATCATAGCCACACAAATAGGTATATTTTACAAAAAAAATATAAATAGTTATAAGGGAGTATAAAGAGGGAGGGGATGTTTGAAAAAAAGTTAGTATCTCCAGTCTCTACAAGACATTCCCGCTTAAATAATGAAAACAAATCTTAGAATGTATGGTCTTTAAGTAGGTATATTTTATTATTTTAAAATTCTAAAATTCAAATTTTGGATAACTATTAATTATTATGCTTCATTGCATTGTCGAAGAAATAAAAGTGCATGA